GGAAAACTAGTGTATGTGACAACATATTAACCCTTGGATTTAGGTTAAATAGTTAGGGATTTTATTATATTTTTTTTATGGCTATTATATTTACATGCAATTTCTCTTTTTTTTCTCTTATATAAAAAAAAATAAAAAATAGAGGTCGTTTGGAGATGTCTAAGTTTTAAAAATTATACTAGGTGCCATTAGGTGGATTTACACAAAGATGCAAAATAATACATTTTCTTGCAATGTTTCCCAACACTTTTTTTCATAACCCATCATTTCCCCCAAATTTAATCTTATTATTTAATTCTTTTTATATTTTTAATACGGAAACTATGTATATCCCTTTAAAATTTGAACACCCAAAATATTGTATGAAGAAGAAAAAAAAGCTCAGGGCAAGTAGATAAAGTTTATTTATTTATTGGCAAATTAAACGAGTAGAGACTGAGATTGGTTTAGTAAAAGAAGAAAGAAACATCAAACATAAAGATCATACGGTTTCATCCTTGTTCACAACTTGGCCATAGAATAGTCCAATGCATCTACCAAGAAATCTGTATACACAAACACAATTTTATTAACGTATTATACATCTCGCTTGAAACAAAAATACGTTTTGAGCAGATATATATATACTTATATGACAACATCAAAACCAAATTACCTGCATCGTCTTTGGTGAAACACATCGGTGGCTTTATCCTGAAAACGTTCCCATGAAGTCCTCCTTTTCCAACGAGAATTCCATGTTCTTTCATTAAGAGAAAAGAGCCAAGATTATACTTTAATACCGGCGAATCAAAATCGATGCATTGGGTTTTAATGTTATTTACCTCTAAGTTGCTCGAACAAGACAGCTGTTTCAGCCTTGGCTGGTGCCTTGGTTTTCCGGTCAGTCACGAGGTCGATCCCAACCATTAATCCTCTTCCTCTCACATCTCCAATGACTGAAAAGCAAAACAGAGACGCGCGGTTTAAGTGAAAAAAACAGAGTAAAGGATCTGATAAAAAAAAAAAGCTTAAAAGACTGTTTTGTTTTCACTTACTATCATGTCTTTTCTGCAGATCTTTCAAACGTTGAATAAGGTGTGAACCAACTTCAGCACAATGAGACTGGCGTTTCTCTCTGTCGATAACGTTTAAAACAGCGAGTCCACCAGCTGAACAAACCGGGTTTCCACCAAAAGTGTTGAACTGAATCTTGCTAGCTAAAACGCTAGCAATTTCTGCTGTAGTCACTACAGCTCCTAGTGGCAAACCGTTTCCAATTCCCTGTGAATAGAACCGGTACTAATTATCAGTAGACTACACACAATGATTAGAAAATAGAGGAAATGGTAAAAACTTATTTTGACAAACCTTTGCCATTGTGACTATGTCAGGAACTACATCTTGAGTCTGGAAACCCCAATAGTGACTTCCTGTCCGGCCAAATCCAGTTTGGACTTCATCGGCGATGCATACACCACCAGCTTTGCGTACAGTTTCATAAACCGACTTTAAGTAACCAGGAGCCAATTCTACAGCTCCTCCGACCCCCTGAAGTTGAAACGATAATGGCATGGTGAAAATGATGCTCAAGAGAGCCATATATCAAAAGACAATAGTTTGAATTGACGGTTCTTTTACCTGGATGGTCTCTGCGATAAATCCAGCCACTTTTCCAGAAGTACCGTACTCAATGTGGTCTTGGACATCTTTAGCATATAGAGAACCATCAGACCCAAATACTCCACGGTATGGATCTGGATTTACGACGTGATGGATTTCCCCCTGCATAATAACAGAGTTGGCAAACAAAAGTTACAAACACGCTATCACAGAGAATTATATTGCAGAGACTTTTATTCTATTGGGTCTAAAATGTGGATTAAGGTGAAGTAAAAGACTCTGCTTCAAATTCCAGAATACTATATGGCCACTCAAGCGTAAAGAGACAGAAACTAAAGCTAGAGACAATATCTCTCTTTTATGCATATGAACTTCTTGTAAGGTAAATGAAAGTCTTGGAGACAAACCTGTGGTAATGGGTACTTCCATGTGTTAAGAGCTGTTAGTCCAATAGTATTAGAACTTCCACCATGATAAGCATTTCTCAATGAAATCATCTCAAGGCTACCAGTGTAAAGTCTAGCCATCATCATCGCTAGCTCATTAGCTTCCGAGCCAGAATTTAGAAAATACACAACCTGCATCCAAAGCTTGCTGATTACTCGACAAAACAACAACATATACACCTTAACAACAGCATCGTTCTCGAGTTGCTTCAACACTTCTTTTCTTTAAAATATCAAGTACCTTTAGATTTCCAGGCATTTTAGCAGCTAATGCTTCAGCGAAATCGCCTATGGCGTGATGCAAGTATATTGTCGTCGCGTGCTGAAGAAGCTTGCTCTGTTCGGTAATCGCATTTAGTATATCGGGGTGGCAATGACCACATGAGACAGTGACTATTCCAGCAAACGCATCTAGATATCGCCTACCAGTCTCATCGAACAAGTATTGCATCTTCCCTTCAACAATGTTAAGCTGCAAGAAAGCAAGAATTTTGCTGGAATATCACCACAAATTGATCGAGCTGATGAAAATTGCAATGAATTTTGTTTGTTTTACTTAGAATTTCACAAGCAGAGTTCGAATCGATCAAACGCAAGCTTAATATGCATCTGGGAATTTACATCACACAAATCGATTTCTGAGTTTGTACGATTAGAACCAAGCATAAGCCCTAACAATTGATCAAAAACCTATGCAACAATCTGGAGATTTCATAAATCCGAAATTCGAAATGATCAAAATCTAGATCGCATATCAAATTTCCGATAAGTCAAATCACGTACAGGTTTTTGGTAGAAATGGAAAAGAGAAGGTCCGAGAAACTTCTTCCGTTTCTGGAAAACTTCATCGGCGGAAGGACCATTATACGGCCGTGGCTTGTAATCGAACGGCGGAATCTGCGGCGGAGCATCGGCAAAAGAAGGAGAAGTGGAGAAATCAGAGCGGAGGAAGGAGATCGCAGGTCGGTAGTGAGTTCTATCGACGACTCTCTTCAGGAGTTGCCTCTGTAACGCCATTTTTGTACGGAACAAAGAGAGAGAGATTAATAATAATGAGTCTGGCAAATCACAGCATTATACTACTGAGGTTAAGATTAATTATTTGAGTTAATTGGTGATTAGTAGAAGGATTAAGAAAAGATTCCATTCCATGTGAATGAGATAACTGAAACAGTGACACGTCACTTCCAATATCCTCTACATGATGATGACGTGTCACTGACTAGAGGCGGAGTATTCAAGATATGTATATCTTCCCAGTAATTAATTTAAATTTGACGCATTTTCGTCGTTCTAACGCATTTTATATTAAGAAATTTTTTTAATGGAGGTATAATGTATTTGCTGTGTTTGCAACACATTATATGAATGTACCGAAATAAAGCTCTTTTCATTCAAACTATCTTAATCACTATCTTAATCAAACACATTGTAACGTTAGAACTTAGGAGGATATGTATACTATATTAATCACTACATAATTAAACGTGTACATGACTATCACTTGGACAAAGTCAACAAAATCGAGTTATGCTAATTGAGCTGTCGTCCATAACAACCAAATCATTTGATTAAGATCTATTACTTAGTAACTCATTATTATATTAAGTTAAAATAAAATAAAAAACTCATTATTATTTTTAATTGGTCGTGGATATGTACTATATGGCATATGCTATACCAAACCCATCACGCTTATACGACCCATCACACACCAGTACGAAACAAAATTGATTACTTTTTTTATATCACAAGATGTTAGGTCAAGAAAACTATTATTGATCCGAACTTATGCTAAAGTTTTGGTTCGTTTGTCGTTTATCTAAAGACTAAACTACAATAAACTTTATAACATATCACTAACACAAAAAGTACTATATAGTATGCCAACTACTGTATATACGTTTAGTTAATAAAAATAATTTTTTTTAAAGATCTTTGCATCATTATTCATCAATTAATCCGCACAAGTTCGATGCAATACACAACATAGAAACATATCAAATCCTATCTCAATATCCTGAAGGGAACCCTCCTTTTCTTGGATCACTAACCGCCACAAGCTTACTCATTCCGCCGGGATTTCCACCGGATTCATCCACTATGAACTGAGAAATCGTTCCTCCGGCGATCGGAGCTAGGACATGACCTTTCTTCTCCAACACAAGTCTTGTCTCTTTAGGTATCTCGAAATGACCATTGTAAACCGTAGTCCAGTTCTCATACGAAATTTTGTTTGGTATCAGCTGCAAAAAAATGAAAATCACAAATAGCAAAGGTTATCGATGAACAAAGAACAAGAAAGTTTCCATTTTGTGTATAAGAG